ATTCGATAAACCTAGTGAGAATGAATTTGTTCTGTCAAATTTATTTACACAAATACGCAAATCCTACTTATGTAGTCCTCTGTTTTTCGTTTCAACTTAAGTAGAGGCGCAGCCGATGGTAAAAGCGCGATCTCCAGGCTTTCAGCGTTCCTGCCAAGCATGCGTGGCCGTGCAGTGCAAGCACTGTTATGAGCATGCTCGCGTTTGTAGCATCGGTTGAGTCTGGACTTAAGCTTTAACAAAGTGTGTCTTAAAAATGTGATTTGAGAAACTATAGCACGTATTACAATACGTTTTGCCAGTTTTTATTTTTTCTAAGTCCTGTTATTTTACGGTTGCTTGAAAATGCTCTCAAAACAGTAAAAAAACTTATATTTTTAGATTTTATTGAAATCTACATCGCCCTCAGGAGAAAATTTAAAGGCAGTATGACCTTCATTACGTCTTTGTAATGAACCTCGAAAAAAATCAACACTTTTGTGCATTCCCTGAAACTCAGGTTTTTGTAGCGAAATTCGGCAATCCAGTGACGAGCGGTTGAATCCAGATTTAAACAGCGCGAAGGACGAGGGATGAGATGAAGAAGGTCACCGACACAGCGCTGACTCACAAGTAAATTTTAATAATTATAGAACAAAAAAAAGAAAAAAAGAAAGACATGATCAGCCTGAAAAAAGATACCTTTAAAAATACTCTAAAAAGCAAAAAAGGCCATAAAAGATAATGCGCACAAAGCAAGCAAGTCGTGATACAAGAAAAGCAATCTCTATTCTTGAGAGAGCAATAGAAGGACGGGTGACACAGTCATCAGCCGCGGTCCATTTGAAACTCTTGCTATTTCTAAGACCTCCATAATTTCACGTGTCAGCCGGTCACGGTGACGTTTTATAACATCACATCTTTGAAACTGGGGCCAGCAACGACAGTCACGGCAATGAATGCCAATGTGACCAGATTTCAGGGAGGACACATTGTAAGCATGTTCTCAGCCTGTCATTAACACCCGTGTTACACGGGCACCCTTAACCGCAGTTTCGTCACCTTTAACTGCTGTTACGCGGTACCACAGATACCGCACTATAGACGATTGCAAGCTGGGCGACTGGCCGCCGCCATGTCTCTGCTCGAGCAGGCACGCCCGTGCGATTACGAGCTTGCGAAAGCTACGTTCACCCGCGCGTTGCACGCGCTTGCACGCATGGGGCACCACTTGTGGCGCCATGCTTGCAATTGTCTATACACTCGAAGAGCTATTTCAGAAGAAGTGAAGAGTGCGCGTGCACTGCTTTCAAGGCACCTCAAGATGCTCAAGCGCACGTGCGCCCATGGCTTCAACTGCATACCCGCAGAATGTTGTCCGCAAGTACTATGTGCTAATTGTGGCTTAGCGTAACTGCATTTAGTTGTGCCCGTGTAACAAGGGTGTAAGAGAGCGGCCGGTTGGCCCACAAAACACTTGCCACATGACAAAGGGAGTGAATGAACAACCCTTTCAGCACAAGTGAGGAAATGCACTTGTAAGACGAAACATCGGGATAATCTCGTCACTTGGGCTGAAAAGGTTGTTTATTCACACCCTTGACTTGCGGCAAGCGTTATGTGGGTCAAACGTGACGCTGCCCTAATGGCAGGCTAAGGGAACATGGTTTCAATGTGTCCTCGGTGACATTTGGTCACCTCGGCATTCATTGCCGTGACTGTCGTTACTTACCCGAGCTTCAAAGATGCGAAGTTTTAAAACATCACCGTGACCACCTGACATGTGAAACTCTTGAGTCCGTAAAGGAGCGATGCAACAATTTTTGTACTGTGCACAAATACCGCTTAAAACGGATCCCTAACGTTAATGACCTATGAAACACGCGTTCGTTTTTCACCCCACGCAATAGAAGACCCAGAAAAAAATTTAAGAAAAACGAGCAGCGTTCACCCCCTCAACTCGCAGCCAGAACAAGCGGCCACGTGATCTGGAGCCAATTATATGCCGCCAGTGTTGATCATAGCCACGCGCTGGGGTTGGCAAAGCGCAGGACACGCGCTGAGTTCCAGACATTGTTATGGCTCGGCTGTTGTCGTCGTTGCAGCGATTGGACACGGGTCACAACCCGAATGCTTCTCGAGCTAGCAATTGTCACGAGCCCAAGTCGAGTGCCCACGCAATGCTCGGGTCCAATCTATGAAGAGCATTCAAATATCGTCATATGGGTGTACTGCGATCCCCGAGTTACGTCATCAAATTTTGCAAAGGAGAGATTGAATGAAAATGATCGCTTTTGTATTTGAAATTACACCGCAACAAAGGAGTTTCTTGGCCAATGGCGCTGCGTGCGAGTATCCTTGAGTTCCACTAGTGCCAGTAAGCTCGTGTATAGTGAAAAACATTCCAACTGAATATCGTTGCACAGCTCCTTTAAAGGAGCTGTGCAACGATATTGAATTCGAATGTTTTTCTCTCTACACGAGCTTACTGGCGCACCTGGGACTCAAGGATACTCACACGCAACGCCATTGGCCAAGAAACTCCTTTGTTGCGGTGTAATTTCAAGGACAAAAGCGATCATTTTCATTCAATCTCTCCTTTGCAAATTTTGATGACGTAACTCGGGGATCGCAGTACACCCAAGTGACGATATTTGAATGCGGTTCATAGATTGGACCCGAGCATTGCGTGGGCACTCGACTTGGGCTCGTGACAATTGCTAGCTCGAGAAGCATTCTGAATTGTGACCCGTGTCCAATCGCTGCAACGACGACAACAGCCGAGCCATAACAATGTCTGGAACTCAGCGCGTGTCCTGTGCCTTGCCAACCCCAGCGCGTGGCTATGATCAACACTGGCGGCATATAATCGGCTCCAGATCACGTGGCCGCTTGTTCTGGCTGCGAGTTGAGGGGGTGAACGCTGCTTGTTTTTCTTTAATTTTTTTTCTGGGACTTCTATTGCGTGGGGTGAAAAACGAACGCGTCTTTCATAGGTCATTAACGTTAGAGATCCGGTTTAAGCGGTATTTGTGCACAGTACGAAAATTGTTGCTTAAAGGAGCGGTGCAACGATATTCAATTGGAACGTTTTTCACTTTACACGAGCTTACTGGCACTGGTGGGACTCAAGGATACTCGCACGCAACGCCACTGACGAAGAAACTCCTTCGTTGCGGTGTAATTTCAAGGACAAAAGCGATCATTTTCTTTCAATCTCTCCTTTGCAAAGTTTGATGACCTAACGTGGGGATCGCAGTACACCCAAGTGACGATATTTGAATGCGGTTCATAGATTGGACCCGAGCGTTGCGTGGGCACTCGATTTGGGCTCGTGATAATCGATAGATCGAGGAGAAGCATATGGGTAGTGACCCGTGTCCAATCGCTGCAACGACGACAGTAGCCGAGCCATAACAATGTCTGGAACTCAGCGCGTGTGCTGTGCTTTGCCAACCCCAGCGCGTGGCTATGATCAACATTGGCGGCATATAATCGGCTCCAGATCACGTGGCCGCTTGTTCTGGCTGTGAGTTGAGGGGGTGAACGGTGCTCGCTTTTCTTTGATTTTTTTCTGGGACTTCTATTGCGTGGGGTGAAAAACGGACGCGTGTTTCATAGGTCATTAATGTCAGAGATCCGTCCTAAGCGGTTTTTGCGCAAAGTACAAAAATTGTTGCATGGCCCTTTAAGCCGGGGTCACATTGCTTATACATCATACAAAGGACAGTCTGCACACAGATTCGAACGCGAGCCACCGCGAGATTCCTGCTTCGAATGCCGCGTGGTAATGAGTTCGAGGAGGAAACTTGGCACGCGGCATTCAAACCACGGACATTGCGGTGGCTCGTGTTTGCAGACTGTATTTTGTTTGATGTATGAGCAGCGTGATCTAGGTTTCATAAATAGTAAGGTTCGGTAACACTGTAGTTTGGTGATGTCCTTGTCAGCCGTTCTTTAATAGGTGTATTCCATAAAGCCCCTCCATCCTGGGAAAAGTGGCGCCATTCATTGCTGTAGACATTCTCGAGGCACGTACCCGCGCGCCAATTCTGGGAAATTCATGGCGTCTGAAATCCAGCTCAGCGCTGCGCTGTGCCCCCATGATCTTCCCGAGGGCTGCACGTTACACGTGCCTCGCGCATCGACGCACCTTCCGCTACTTTTGAAACATGAAGGTGCTTTAGTATTCCAAAGCTCGAAACACCTCCTCGCGACGTAGTGCCACGTTATGCATCCTGGCAATCAGTGGGGAGCAAAATCCATACGCGCTCCGCTCCTGCAGACCCACAGGTTCGCAGAATGAAATGTACGCGGTGACAGATTTATGCAAGTAGTCTATTTCCATATCAAGAAAAGAGATTGATTTCCTTGTATGACTTGCCTTTTTTGTGCGCGTTATGTTTTTAAAGGGGTTTTCGTAGGCTGATCCTCTCTTCCATCTTTTCTCATTTTGTTCTTGACTGCGCTAACATATATGGCGCTCTCGCGATCAATATAATTTAGTTGGAGTCAGCGTTTTGTATGCGCCTTTCTTCATTTGCTCCCTTGTTCTTTGCGTTGTTTTAATTCTCAAGCATGGTCGTGCGATATAACTCGCCGAAGCTTCAACTTCCGCGATTGAGCTCATTAAAACTACCAGAATGTAAACCTGCACTGATGTAGTACCAGCTGGTAGATAGGACAAGCACTGACTGACAGCTGCGAATTTATTCTAAAGGGGTGGTGTACCAATATTTGCTCTTTCAGTATAGGTACCGCTGATACATATGTTTTAAGATTCAAAACTTGCCATGCACGCATTATTGTTCTTTTCGTTCCACGAAGAAAAAAATTTACACAAAACCGAGCAGAGCTAATCCTCTCAACTCGCAGTCATCTGAGGAGGAGGAGGAGGAAAAACTTTATTTGGATGCCAGCAGTCGGTGGTACCTCGCCCCGCGCAGGGGGTGGTACAACGCGACGCGGCCCCCACGTCTATCTCGCGCCTTCTACTCCCTGGCCCCGAGCATTCCCCTTAACTAACCGGGATCGGGAGGGAGAGCCGCCCGTTTCTCGGGCCTTCCCTGACCCCCCCTACTATCATCTGCCCGTTGCCTCTCCAGGGCGGCCGAGATCTGCTGGACGGCCCTACGTTGAGTCTCTAAGTCACAGCTCCTCGCCGCAGCCTCAAACTGAGGGGGAATCGTTGTCTTCTCGGTTGCCTCTTTCGGGTTCTTTTCACAGTCCCAGAGTACGTGCACCGCGGTGGCCCTAGCCTTCATGCACAGTCTACACGTATCGTCCGCGTAAAGTCCCGGGTATATGTACTTAGCTAACACTGGTGTTAGTAAGGACCCTGTTTGTAGTTGCCTAAAGACTACAGCCTCCCCCGGCTTGAGTCCAGAGTGAGGGGGAGGCATAGTTCTTCTATTTAACCTATACCACTTCACAATCTCGTTGTACGTAGTCATCCGGTCCTTGGAACTATACCACGCACCGCCCTCCGAGAGGGCCACGTTTGCCGTCGCGCGGTTGGTGAGTCCTCGCGCCACGGCGTTGGCCGTCTCGTTGTGGCTGGTGTTGCCCCGCCACGACACATCACTGCCCATGTGGGCCGGGAACCACTTCATCACCACCGCCCCTTGTCGCCCTGCTTCTTCGGCTGCCCGCAAAATGCGGGCTGCCGCACTGCATACTCTGCCCTTAGCGTAACTCAACACCGCCGTCCTTGAGTCACTTAGCACCGTCTTGCAGCCGGGGTTGGCGATGGCCAAGGCAATGGCCACCTCCTCTGCTTGATGCGTGTCTCTGGTGCGGGTGCTGGCCGCCGTTTTGACTGCTCCCGTCGAGGCGCTCACCACTACTGCTGTGTACGCCTCGACGCGGTCTTGATATTCAGCCGCATCTACGTAGACGGCTCCCTCGTCTTCCGCGTGCCTATCCACGAGAGCACCCGCCCTCGCTGCTCTCCTTTCCGCGTTGTGCGTGGGGTTCATGTTCCGCGGTATTGGACATACACTGATTCCGCTCATTAAGCTGCTCGGAACGGGTTCGGAAGCCGCCGAGCCGCTGCCATTAGGATTTATGTCAAGGTCCTGTAGGATCTTCCTCCCCGTCTTCGTGCCGGAGAGGCGCTCCAGGTGCGCCGACCGTTGAGCTTCTGCAATCTCCTCCAAAGTGTTGTTTACCCTTAGCTCCATGAGTTTCTGTGTGCTCACGTTGCCTGGGAGTCCCAGTGCAATCTTGTATACCTTGCGGATGAGGGCGTCTATTTTGTTTCGTTCCCCTGTAGTCCATTTGTGGAAGGCAGCCACGTACGCAATGTGGCTGATCGCAAAGGACTGCACTAACGTGATTAAACTTTCTTCCTTCATGCCATCTTTCCTATTGGAGATCCACCGTAAGAGCTTCGTAGCAGACATGACCTTGGTGTTGAGCTTAGTGATTGTTTCTCCATTTACTCTGTTCCGCTCGAGTAGCAAACCGAGCACCCTGATCTTGTCTACCTCCGGGATTATCCGCCCGCCCGCCGTCTTGACCGTGATCTTAGGTCTCTCTACCGTGATCGGCGCGTCCTTTCTTCTGCTGCCTGCCCTTTTAGGTGGTAACACTAGCAGTTCTGATTTTGTCGGGGAGCAAACGAGCCCGGACCCTTCTAGGTGTTCCTCTATGGCCTCGACCGCTTCCTGCAATTGGTTTTCTATGTGACCATCGCTGCCTCCTTTGACCCATAATGTGATATCGTCAGCGTAAATGGTGTGTCTGACGTCCCTAACTTCCTGTAATCGGTTAGCCACCCCTATCATGACAAGATTGAAGAGCAGTGGGGAGATTACCGTCCCCTGTGGAGTTCCGACGCTGCCTAAATCTTTCTCGTCTAGTTGTAAGTCCCCCGCACAGATTCTTGTGGTTTGTCCAGTTAGAAAGTCCCTGATATAATCGTAGGATCGCCTACCCATGTTAAGTTATGAGACGTGGGCAAGGATGGCAGAGTGGCTCACCTTATCGAAGGCGCTCTGTAGGTCCAGCCCCAGGATGGCCCTGTTGTCACCTATGCTAAGTGGTACGTCTATGATTTCATTCTTCAGGAGAATCATTGCGTCTTGTATCCCCAGCTTATTCCGGAATCCGATGATGGAGTCCGGGTAGAGGCCCGACTCCTTCAGATATCGTTGCCATCTGTCCAGCAGTACGTGCTCGAGTAGTTTCCCGACGCACGACGTAAGTGAGATCGGCCTGAGGTTCTCTACACTGGGTTGCTTGCCCGGCTTGGGGATGAGGATCGTTTTGGCCGTCTTCCACTGCTTTGTTAGTTTCCCTTCTCGCCAACACTTGTTGTAGTACTTCGTGATATTCTTGATAGCCGCCTCGCTGAGGTTCTTGATCGCCTTGTTAGTAACTCGGTCAGGACCGGCTGCCGATCTGCTGTTGAGTTTTTGCATGGCTGCTCTGACTTCCCACGTTGCAATGTCCTTGTCCAAGGTCGCGTTGTCGGTACCCTGGTACACCAGGTGTTCCGTTGTAGGAGTGGACGGTAGATACTTCTCGTCCAGACGCCTCTTGATCTCGACTTCCCCTTCCTTGCTAATGGCCTTGTGTAGGATCCTCGCAAGGTTGTCGTGCTGATACCCCTTAGTCTTGGTCTCGTCGAGGAGATGTCTGAGCATGCTCCAGGTCCTGCTCTTGTTCATTTGACCGTCCGCCTCGTTGCATACCTCGGTCCACTGCTGCTCGCAGAGTAACCTGCAATGGCCTTCTATACACTGATTGAGTTCCGCGATCTTCTTCCGTAGTTTTCTGTTTGTGCGCTGACCCTTCCATCTTGCTTTGATTGACTGCTTAGCTTCCAGTAGGTGAGCTAACCTGCTGTCCACTCTGTCTATACTCTCGTCCGTTTCTATCTCCTTCGTGGCTCCCTCCATCGTCCTATTAACGTTATCTGTCCATTGATCGATATCCGTGATTTCTGATTGCCAGCTAGTGAGTGCCGTCCTGAAGGCGTCCCAATCCGTGACCCGGTGCTTTCTCTTCTCAGTGTTGCCACCTTTCCCCTCCAGCGGGATGAGTACTTCTAGTATGTAGTGATCACTTCCTAGGTCATAGCCCGTGTAGTTCCAAGTCACCTCTCTCTTCCTCCCCGCCACTTTGACGAAGGTGAGGTCCGGGGTGGTGTCCCGGGCAACCGATGTTCCCGTTCGAGTGGGTTGTTCGGGATCTGTGACGAGACTCAACCCTGCGTCCAGCGCGTCCTGCAATAAGTCTCTTCCCTTGGCCGTTGTCTTGCGGTACCCCCACACTTGGTTCGCTGCGTTAAAGTCGCCGCATACCATCAGCATGTTTCCTCCCGCTACCCTACATGCTTTATGAGAGAGAGAGAAACAACTTTAATAGAACACCACATCAAGAAGCCGCAGGAGAGAGGTTTACCTACCGCGGCTTCTCAAAAAGAAAAAAAATTCTGTTCCCGAACTAGAAAGGAATGCATGCGAGGTGGCTTTTCTCTGTTCTGGAAGGGATGTATGTACATGCACCGATGTTCACGCCAAGTCAAACGTCGGGTGCTCGTTCGCTTTTTGTAAGGTCTTCGTGACTTCCGTCGCTATCTTGTCCGTTCGGGAGACGACTTCGGCTTGGATGTGTGGGTCCGAGCTTCGGAGAAGCACAGCCCAAGGGGGATCCAGCGGGTCCTCTTCTCCTTCTCGAAGGTGAGCGACGAAGTCCCGTAGACTAGGTGAGGGAGGGTCGAAGGGACATTCCCAAAACAAGTGTGCGATGGTGGCCTTGGTCGGGCCAGTCCCCCCGTCGGCGGGGTCTGGTGGCGGGCAGCGAGCGCACCTCCCGTCGAAGACGGTGGGATAGATATGCGGCAGAAAGGCCGGGCAGGGGAGGGTATTTGTCTGCAGCTGTCTCCACCTCAGGGCCTGGAACTTGGTGAGGCTTTTGTCGGGTGGTGGATACAGTCTGCGTTCTAGGCGGTAGTGTTGCAAGATCTCTTGGAACACCGTCAGGCAGTCCTTGGACATCGAAAGGTGGTGGGACGCCGTTTCGTCGACGCCGCTAAGGGAGCTTGGCAGCGTGCCGGCCGGCATTCGGAGGGAAGTTGCTCGAGTTGCCGTTGCGTGTGCCGTTTTGTTCCCCTCGTGGGTCGAGTGAGCGGGGACCTACACCAGACGGTGTCTGGTGCGGTCGGAGCCGGGCTTGAAGGATCGAAGGATGCGTTCCGTTACCGCGCACACCCTGCCTCTGGCGAAATTGCGGACTGCCGTCTTGGAGTCGCTGGTGATCGTCGTTGAGAGGGGGCCCGCGGGGACCAGGGCCAGTGCAACGGCCGCCTCTTCCGCCACTGCAGTGGCTTTGGTGGTCACGGAGGCCTGGGCGACCGTGGATCCGTCGCTGTTTACCACGGCGATCGCGAAACAGGCGTTACGAGAGGCGCCGCCCGGATACGGTGCAGCGTCCACGTGAAGGACGCCAGAGTTGGTACGATGCTGCTTGTTGAGGGCGTCAGCTCGCGCCTTTCTCCGCTCCTCGTGATGTTGAGGGTGCATATTCCGCGGTACCGGGCGGACTTCCAACGCTTTCCTAACCGTCTTCGGAACGTCGACCGGGGCCTCTTGCAAAGGTTCCGGCTCGATCCCCAGCCTTTCCAGGACGGCGCGCCCGGTAGGCGTCTTGGAGAGACGCACGATATGAGAGCTCCGGTGCGCCTGGACGAGTTCGGACACCATGTTGTGTATTTCAAGTTGCATGAGGCGGTCCGTAGACGTGGCCATGGGGAGCCCGAGGGCCAACTTGTACACTTGTCTTATGATAGGATCGAGCTTCTTCTTGTCGGTTGTCGTGAGTCGCATGTAGGGTACCGTGTAGAGGACGCGGCTGACGACAAACGCGTGCACTATGCGGCAAACGTCGCCCTCCTTGACCCCGCCTCGCTTGTTGGCGATGAGTCTAATGAGACGAGCCGTGCTCTTGGCCGTCTTGCCAATTCGAAGAACGGCGTCTGCATTTGACAGATCTTTTCTGAGGTGCATGCCGAGAACTCTGACCGAGTCGCTTTCAGAGATGTGATTGCCGTTGACCAGAACTTGAACATCGTCCTGGAAAATGCGCTCGTGGTAGCCCCTCTTCACAAGGAGTTCCGACTTGGCATGGGAGCACTCGAGGCCGACGGATCTGGCATAGTCTACTACGACATCAGCGGCCGTCTGGAGCGCGCTTGGCACGTGTAATACGTGACCCTCAGTCCAAAGGGTAACGTCATCCGCGTAAAGCGAATGACGTAGGCCGGGGATAACGGTCAGCTTTTCTGGCAGATCCATCATTGCGAAGTTAAACAAGAGGGGTGAGAGTACTGCCCCTTGGGGAGTACCTCGTCCAATGCAGGCTCGAAAGGTCGGCGAGACATCCTCTTCCAGGCGAATCTCTGCAGTGCGTCCCGTGAGAAAGGACTTCAAGTACGCAGAGGTGCGGAGCCCGAGATGCAGGCGAGAAATCCGACTGAGAATGGCTTCGTGCTTCACGTTGTCAAACGCTTTCTGGAGGTCGAGGGCCAGCAAGGCTTGCAGTCCCCTCTTCTTCTCGACGATGTCCTGTGAGAGTTGCAGGAACACGTCTTGGGTGGAGAAGTGAGCTCGGAAGCCGAACATGGTGTGCGGTAGAAGGTCGCAGTCTTCCACGTAGGCTTGGAGTCTGTCGAGAATGACGTGCTCGAGCAACTTGCCCAGGCAAGACGTAAGAGAAATCGGCCTGAGACTGGAGACCGAAAGCTCTTTTCCGGGTTTCGGAATGAAAGCGACGACGGCGTGCTTCCAGGTAGGGGGCACCGATCCCGTTCGCCACACCTCGTTGAAGAGGGCCGTTAGTGCCGTCACCAAACGGTCGTCCAAGTTCCGGAGCATCTCGTTCGTAATCCCGTCGGAGCCCGGCACCGATCTCGCGCGTAGTTGTTCCATCGCGCTCCGAACCTCGGCCTCGATCATGTCATCGTCGAGCTCGGGGTTTGGTGACCCGGTGTACGAGAGGAAGGCCTCTTCGTGCTCTGTGGAAGCAGGAATGTAGGTGTTACGGAGTTCCTCCATGAGGTCCGCCGTACTGCCCCCGTGTGAGTGAAGGACCTTGGAGAGGTCGGTCCGCTGCGTCGTTTTGGTGGTCGTGGGATCCATCAAATGTCTTAGCAGCGACCAAGTGTCTTTGCGATGGAGGTTACCGTTGAGACTGTCACACACCTGTCCCCATTGCTGCCGATCTAGCTGGTCCGCATAAATCTCGATGTCTCTTTCCAGCCGAGCTATGCGCTTGCGGAGCTTTCCGTTCCGTCTCGCCTGTGCTTGCCACCTGGCCTGGAGACTGCGGTGAGCTTGCCACATGTGCTCGAGTTTGGAGTTGCTGACTCCCGAGGTCGAAGAGGCGTCGCTCTCGACGGTCACCAACTCCGCGCTGGATAGGAGATCGTCGGTCCAACCGCAGAGGTCTTCAATGGTGGTCGGAGCCGACGCATCCCTGTTGCGGCGAAAAGCGCCCCAATCCGTGACCAGGACTTTGCGTTTTGCGGGGGCCGAGATTCCCTCAACCGGCATGAGCATCTCGAGCACATAGTGGTCGCTGCCAAGGGAAACCCCGGTGTTCGTCCACGACACTTCACCAATCATTCTCGTCATGGAGAGGCCGGCCACGTATTTTTAGAGACGCTGTTCCCAATGCGGGTTGGATAGCGGAAATCATTTAAGATAGTGTAGTCGTGCTCGTCTACACACTCCTGGAGGGACACGGCCTTAGGAAGAGTGTGTAGGTGCCCCCATTCAGCGTGGTTGGCATTAAAGTCGCCCACGACGAGCAGGGGGGTGTCTTTGGCGACGCGGAGAACTTCTGCGAGGATTCTAGCCACAGCCTTCGATTGATCCCTCGGGGGGCTGTAAACGTTGAGTACAAAGACGCGGCGCTGCTCTTTGCGCCTGGGCAGAAGTTCGAGCAGAATGTGCGGCACGTTGTCAACTACGGGTTCGTGTTGTATCGTGGGTATGCCTCTTCGGACGAAAGTATGAACAGGTTTCGATGCGCGCGGCCCTCTCACTGCTGCCTCGACGGGGACCTCGAAGCGAACGTGACCCGACAAATGGACGCCATCGTGCGATTCTTGGAAGGCGAGAACATCAGGCATGTGCTCGGCGTTGCGAATATGGAGCTGTAGGTTTCCCCTCTTGCGACCGAGACCGATGCGGCAGGTGCTGCATCTGCAGCACCAGCCGCAGATGCAGATGCCCACGCCGCCCTGTCTTCCTTGGGCTTGCGATTCTTCGAGACACTTCGATTCCTGGAAGCGCTTCGGCCTCTGCCCTCCAGGGGAGGGAAAGAGACCGAGCGGCTGCGTGCTCGGTAATCTCGCTGTCCGCCATTGCTGTTTCGCGAGCGGGACCTGCGGGACCGCCGTCGTTGCTTGTCAGGCTCCGTCGGCGCTGGTCCGCGACCCTCAGGGCGGCGAACATAGCGATGAGAGCATTCTTTGGAGGCCGTGATGTGCCTGCCCCCGCAGATGGCGCACAGGGGCTGGCACTCGTAGTGCGAGCCATCTTCGTTTTGCGACGGGTGTTGGGCTCCGCAGCGGTGGCATCTGCTCTGGGGTGGCATGGGACACACGTCGGCCCGGTGACCAGTTCGTCTACAGTTGACGCACGCCTCGATTCTATCTCTGTACGGGAAACAGGAGAGAGTGAACCCATTGAAGTAGAGGTATGTCGGGATTCTCTTGCCTCGTATGGTAACCAGTAGCGCTCGTGACTTGCCCATCCGTCGTGCTGCGAGTACCTGCCAGTGCGGGTTCTGCTCTATGCAGTCGAGCAGGATGTCTTTTGCATCCTCGGTTCCTTCGAAGGAGAGGGCCTTCGGTACGACTATTCGCGTCGAGTCGTTTGGAGTGGCCATGTGAGTCGTGACCTCGTGCGTCTTACCACCGATCACCAGTGACCGAATTTGCAGGTAGGCTAGCTGCCTGTCCTCGTCCGGCGTGCTGACCGTGATCGTGTTACTGCGCGGGTTGATGCGAAACTTGTCGAGAGAGCAGACTTCGCGCGGCGACAGGCCGAGCTGCGAGACAACGGCTGACAGGACGTCGGCTGCAGAAACTTGGGAAAAGTCGAGTACCCGGGGTCGGAACGTGACTTTGAACCCCATAGGAAGAGGAGGAAGAGGGATCGTCCTCTTACCCTTCCGTCTCTTGGCTGGGGTGGACCGCTTCTTGATGGCAGGAGCCGAGGCAGCGTCGCCATCCTGCTTCTTCGGTACGGAGGCTTCGTTCTTCGCAGCCCGGGCCGCCATGGATTCTTTCACGGTGCGGTTAATATTACCGCGGACGATCGTCGTCCATCCTTCATCGGTAGGCTGGCTCTTGGTGATCTCAGAGCTCGCAGTACCACTCATGGGAGCTGTATCCATAGGCACCCGGTGGAAGGGGGCGCACGAACGCCGCCGACGCTTTCCCGGTGGGAAGTAGGCTTAGCTCCCTCCCGCACCGTGCAGGAAGAAGGTTTTGGCGAAACAGTCCAAAACCACGCCTACATCGTGCACAAAAGGGTCCACAGGGTACGCTCACCGTGCCGAAAAGACCGGTAGCAAGAAAAAGCTCGAAGAAACCAAAGAAAAGGTCAAAAAGGGGCCAAAAAGCTGGAGCTCGACGCGACGCGTCCACTCTGATCGGCCGCTCTTCTTCTTCACATGCTTTATGAAACAGTGCTTTGAATTTCTGTTGCGTGTTAGCTGGCTTGCTGTACGCATTAACTAAGAAGGTGCTCTCTTTTCTCTTCCTTCCCGTGATAACCTCCACCGTGCAGTGTTCTATGGTGCTCTTTTCTACTATTTCGTGCTCTACGAATGTGATACCCTTTCGTACGAAGATACAGACTCCCCTACCCTTCCCCTTGGGCGTTTCGCAGGTATCCGGAGGCCTGTTGTGCGATCGGTATCCCGCGAGCTTGGGTGTCTCCGCGGCATTAGATTCCTGTACCATGATCACATCTGGTTTCCTATCTACACTCTGCAAGTGCTGTTGTAGTACCGCTTTCTCGTGTGCAAAACCGTTACAGTTCCAGTGCCAGACTACGAGGTCTTTTACTGGCGGAGTGGTTGTTGCTGCACGCCCTGTCCCGTCCATGATTGTTGGAGTTTGGTAATGATGCCGATTTCCATGCTCTGTATCTGCGCTTGCATTTGTGATTGTAGCTGTACCTGTAGTTGCGCCAACATACTCTGCATGTTCTTCTCGAGCGATGTGAGGCGCTCGCTAGTCTCCTTGCAGATTTCCTCCATTCTGTCCAATCTTTCATCGTGTCTCTTGAGCTTATCCATGATCAATCGATACCTGATGCTTTCTATGGCCCTCCTCTTGGGGGCTGGTTCCGTTGGCTTATCGGCTCTGGGGTCCACTTCGGTCTCTGATTCGTCCTCGACTATGGTCTCCGTCGTCTTTTCTGGTACTGGTTCTGGTGCCTGTTGCTGTCACTCCCCAATCAAGATTGCCAGCTTCGCATTGATTTCCTTGATTATATCATCCTGCTCCGAGACTCTGCGCTTGAGCTTGTCGTTTTCGTCCTTGAGGGATTTCATCGCTGTCAGGTCCTCCTGCCTCTTCTTCTCGTAATAACTATTCACACTTGGTTGCTTGCTCTCGGACCTAGTTGTCTTGACAGCGTCTGCCCAGGAAGTTCTCTCACTCGGCCGCGCTAGGTCGCGGTGGCGACTGATGCTTCTGCCTTCCTTACTGACTTCCCTTCTCCGACTGTCGGCTCGTCGTCTCGATACGCTGCGCGGATTCTCGATGGAGCGCGACCTAAACGGTGGAAAGTCTGCGGCTACCACTTGCTGCTCCGCGGCCTCCGCTTTGCGCTCCCATTGGCGTCGCTTAACTATGTATGGCATCTTGTATTTGTTGTTACAGCCCCTCTCCCCTGTTGGATGTGGGCCCCCGCATAGCTTGCATTGCGGTTGACATTTCAGCTCGTGCCCTTCCTCCGGGTTCGCCTTGCCGCAGCCGAAGCAGGACTTGTTTCCGGGATTCGGGCACACGTCTCGTCTATGTCCCAGTTTACCGCACGTCTTGCAAACATCGAAATGCTTGCGATATAATCCACACTAGATCAAAACTATGCCGTACTTGATGTAATGCGGTACCTTCTGCCCCGCGAAGAGCACTACGACCGCGGTCGTCTTTCCGATTCTATGCGCCTCCACTGCCCTGGGGTTGTTCGTATTCACTATGTTTTCCGTGATATCCTCCGCCGTCTCTTCTATGTTTATGCCTCGAATGACTCCCTTGACTGTTCCGTCACGTGCCGTTCTATAGGCGCCGACATCATACGTCTTGCCTCCCTCGCTAATGGACGTCATTTTAGCGTATCTCGTAGCTCGCCGCTCGTCTGAGGTGCTAATCACTATAATGTTCTGCTACGTATTTATACCGACGGTATCCTCGCCAGCTTCCTCCCTTGTAACCTTCGCCGCCCTTGTGACCGCCGCCATGGCAGCCGGGCCTCCCATCTTCGCTATATTGAGGCCGCCACGTGGCCTGACCACTATCTTGATATCCTCCTTCGGCATGCTTACTGGCATCCGTGCCCCTTTCGTGATTGCCGATGTGACTTTCTTGGCGTATTTGGCCCTAGTTCTGGGCCTGGACGACCGGTTGGTTGCAGCGAACTCACCGCTTTCCGTGCCGTTCGTGATCTCCTTGATTCGCTTGCCGGAGACCTTCCATCCCTCGACCTCTTCCGGTTCGATACGCTCCCCGGGAACCTCGATGAACGTGCGCCCGTCGACGTTGCCGACTCGTAGCGATGGAGCTACAGCCTCTCCTGTTGACGTGGCCGTCGTTGTCTCGTCCATCATCTTGAACATGATCACCGCCGGGTTAGGCCTAGCGGCCGGCGGGTCGCCGCCAACGGCCGTACTTGTGCTCGGCCTATGTTATGCTTAGCGGGGATTCCCGCCATCCCGAGAACAAAGTCCACGTACCTTGGAAATGTCACGTACCACTTAGAAAAATTTTGGTGTCCGCCAAAAACCCACACCTTCGCCCGAACTTGGGTACCAGTTTTAGAACAATATTGATTAATTAGCACTGAATAAGTTGGAATTAAAGCAGGAGCCGATCTCCTGCGGACCCTGTTTTCTTGTTTTCTTCTTCTTCCCCTTCGCAGTCATCTGATGTGGTGCCCATTATATGCCGCCAATGCGTGTCACGTGAAACACATGTGAACAAAAATCGCGTAGCTTCGCACCGCTGAGCGGCGTCACCATGACAGCAGTTACTGTCCTTCGTGGTTTCATAGTTATGCAGCGTGGCAGTGCGATGTGACACGATTTTCGGTCGCATGTGTTTCACGTTCCCGTACTGACGTTGGCGAAGCTCGTGGCAGGTGCTGAGCTCTGGCTGCGTTTACATGGACGCGACCGCAGCTTATCGAATCGAGATGAAACTATTTTGATTTCTAGTAGATAAGAAGACGAGGAAGAAGTAGGAAGACAGAGTGCGTGTGATTAGTCCTTGTTTGATTCGATGCGCTATGAGCGCATTCATGTAAACCCAGCCACTGCAGCGGTTCGACACGAGCTGCTAACCGAATGCTCGTCGAGAAACTGATTGTCTCGAACCCTTATGCCG